CAGTAAATACTCAAAGATGTGAACGTTTCTTGGAATTTTCTGTCCCGATTGAAATTTGTCACAGGACATTTGACAAATTTGGAAGGGAGTGCTGTTGAGAATGTTGGCCCATTATGTTGAACAGGACACGTTGATTTTCTTGGACCTGTCAGGTCGATACTCCCTCAGGAGAGGCATTATGCCAGGTTGAGCACCGAGAATAGGACGGTATTGATCTTATACCTAACATGATTACAATACTGGGGACACTGTTGGTATTATCATCTAGCCTATTTATTGGGAACTGGACATGGAGCTGTTTGTAACTCGGTTGGCACCGGACCTGCTGGACTCGAGCTTTTGGGCTCCGATTGTCTCCGCGCTCCTGTCACAATGTGGCTGTAAGTCCCGAACACCCGCCTCGATTCACAGCTTCGCATGGAGCTGACGGTGACGCTGACAACGTTCCATCGTGTCCCGGCTGGCAATGCCTCCGTTCGTCCCCGGGTACTGGGGGTCAAACCCGGGCTGGGCCATCACCAGTGCCACCCCCCATACAAGGACCCCTGCCCTTTCCGTCCCTCGGGCTCCCCGCTTGGCGAAGGGACCGGGCGAAGGAGCGCAAGGGACGGCCGCAGCGAAGGGCCCCGCCGAGAGGCCGCGTCGGATATCCAGCGGGGGTCGCGATGGCCGCCGCGGGGCGTGATGCCGCCTCTCTGCCTCTCCTCGGGGACAGCCGGCGACGGTGCGACACCGCTCATCGACGGCCCCGCCGGGCGTTGGATCCGCGCTGCGTTGCGATCCAATCGCTTGGGATGCCGTCCTGTGCCGAGGCATCGCGGCGGCGGCCGGAGGGGGCCCGGATCCAGATTCTCTGGTTTGGGATGCATCTGCGGAAACGAGGCGGGGGGCGCGGCGTCTTTCCAGCGCCATCGCCGCAATCGGGGGAGGGACTTCCAACGAAACGAGGGTTGCCATTCCATCTGGGGTCTCGATCAGGCGTGCACGGAGGATGGACGCGCACCACAAATTACAACCATGCGCGAAACGGCCAAGGGATTCTTGCACTCGATGCACTGGGTTGGACTGGCGCGGACGGTCTTCTGGGATGGTGTGGTTTCATGCCCGGTGCGCCGCAGCTGACCCACCCCCGAGGCGCCCTGCTCCACCCCTGCGTCCTTTTCGATACGGGGGTTTGTGTGCCGCACTGTGCGTCCGATGATGCCGTGTGTCGTGCGATTTTTTGGCAGTGCCCTTGGTATTTTGTCCCCTTGTGCCCCTTGGTGCGCTGCAGGCCCCGATGCGGGAATATATTAGTCCCTCTTTCTTCCGCGAGGGTCCCTTCTTCTCCCACTCACAATGCCAACGTGGGTCGGTGGGTCAGTAGTTTAGCGTTTAGGGCGTCGAAACAAGAAGGGATCTTCCCGGGAAAGACAGAGAGACTAATTTCATGCGGGCTAACGCACTGAAGCGATCCAGCTTGCCATCTGACATCGATGCTGGATCCGGTTTGCCGTCTGGGCCGATACAAGGATCCATTTTTCCAAGGAATCCATTGTGTTGTCAGTGTGAGGCCAATACCGTAGTATATTCAGTCCTTCCGCATCAAAAAAAATGCCGTTGTGCTTTTTGCTCCATAGTTTTTGCAGAGCGCCATTTTTATTTTTTACGTTGCTCTGCAAAAAATATAGATATATTGAAGCAGCGTTGTTTATTTCATTGTTTTCTCTGCAAAACAGGGCCAAGCGTTACGTTACTATGAGAACAGCTGAATATATTATGGTAGGGATCCATTTACGTTAATGGGTCCGATTCTTTTCATTGGCCAGTTTTGCCCATTTGGGCAATCATATGGGCATTTTTCTAGCAGGCCTGAAACTTTAGCTGTAGTTGTATGGTCAGCGCCCGACAAATCTGCCAGACGTTTTGGTGGGAAAGAGCTGAAGAACCGCGTGTTCGCAAACACTGACCACAGTTTGACACAATACCAAATCCTTGCCGAGAGACCGCCGTTGTTAATTCTGTGCATGATTTGCACCGTTCGTCAGAAGGTTTAGCTGCCGAATTTCCGCCACAGACACACACGCACACACAAGCTATCGAAAACACTGGCCAGGCAAAATTTGCGAATGAAGCAACACTTTCAATACAGGCAATGGCGACATGAAGCAACACCGTATCCGAACACCTCGGTCCAAGAAGGCGTACCCAACTGGCCACCTTTCACCAGAATATCAATGCAGCTCAATCAAGGCATTACAAGTAATGTAACTATCAGATGGGCAATGAGTATCTGCAATCATTATTGAAGATGTAATGCCTTATATGGACTAAGACATCTTTGTGCAGTCTTGAGCAGTTGTGAAACACAAGCAGCCTTTCAGAGTTGGTTTGCTTTGCTCAGGATGTGGCGATAAGGCTTGTGAACATTGTGAACATGTAGCATTTTCCGCAATGATTTCAACACATGTATTGCCCAATGACCTACTGAATAAAAAATGGAAGATGCCATTTGCAGAAAGTGATAAAATCATTGGCCAGCAATGGCGTCGAAATGTGTGTTGCGGTCCTGTAGGAGCGATGGCCAAGATCATCACCAGGGCCGATCTTCAGTCACGGGAGCAATGTTCAGCATTTCCAATGCAATCATCGGCGCAGGTACTTCGCCGGGATTTGCTCCCCGATTCTCTCACTCCCAGCTTGCATGTTAGCATCTCTGAAATCCGCCTAGACGCAGCGAACGAGGATGATGTTGCCTTACACCTATGACTGTCTCGTTTTGGCCGTGACGATGGCCTCGACCTGATTATGTTGGCGCTGCACCCTTTGAAGCTTCTTTCTTTCCAATCACATTGCCGCGAATTGACAGAACAGATCCGCTCAAAGACGATGAAAGCGATTTCTCGCATCCAGATTTGTTCATACGGATTGGCTTGAAAACAGTGGTACATAACATATTTTCACCGATTTTGATTCCGGCCTGAAAATGTGTCAAATCAAATTACGCAAAACAATCTCAGCGAGTGCGGCGTCGACAACATGTGAATTCAGTTATTCAGTGTCCCTGTCAATCTATTATGTGGCTTTTTCAACCACCGCCTTCACAGCAATGTTTGCCATCAAACAAACTATCAACCAACTCAAACTACCCTGGAATGTCAGAATTCCATGCAGCCGCCTGTAATGCATGCCCCAAATCTGAAATGCGTCATTGATAATGACACCCACCTTGCTCTGTGGCAGTACCTAGCCTTTATGTTTAGATTGGATCCACGTAAATAATTAACTAATTGACTTAAGTTGCTTTCAAATATTTAGCATGGCATAAACCATTCAGTCTGATTTCGCCATTTCAAGATTTATATGAATTCAGTTAAGCTATCCTGTAATTCAACGACTCGTGCGCTATTGAATGAGTCAAATACAGAATAAAAGGTCTCCAACACGGCTGTAGACGGCAATGCATGGAAGAACTCGTGCTGCTGTGTAGCGCTTTTCTCAGTCACACGCATGTGACAAGCGTGCTTACAGCCGCAGTGTGTATAAGAATGTGAGCGACACTGGCTCCATTTTGTGCATGGGATTCCTGATTGTGCTGGCGTCGATGACGCATCACGCTGAGTGGCGCGCGGATATTTGTGCATAATGATAAAAATCAATGACAAGAAAACGTTGGTGACTTTCTGGAATACGCTTGAATCGCTCGCACAGCCCATTTGCAATGGCCACTGGCATCCACGTGAACGGCAATGCGATTGGTTCATTTGCAGGAATGGTGGCTCTCCCGTACAAGGCATCCCTGCTGGGCATCGTTTTGAGCGTGGCACTTCATGCTGCTCTTGCAGTCCTGATGACATTTTCAGCGGCCGCTGTTGTGAGGTGCGTAAAAGAGTTGGTGCGATCCAACATGCGCATTGCCATCCGCCGCCACACTGCTGGCCCACGCTCATGAAAGAATGTTACATCCCCTATAGTTCAACGCTAGGTGGCTGCGGACAGCCGCTGTGCAGAACCTCTGCTGCTCCCCGTGATCCCACAGACCCCGCGCCCAACGATTTCGCTGGCAAATTTGGATGCAATGTGCAGACTAAATAGAACTGTAGTGCGAAAGTTTTGGGTTTTGGAGATTTTTGAGATTGAATGTGGCAGTGGGCAGAGACGTGGCGATGTGATGAATGTCCGTATTGTAGCTATTGAAAATACATCTAAACATCAGTTCAGTCATGGAATACCATTTTGATTCTATAAGGTTGCATGCAGTCACACAGATAGCTGGCACTTGTTGCCTCTGTACTCGGCTCAAGCAATGGCGGGTGCCTACAAGTAAATCCAATGTGGGCAAGGGCAGATTTTAATGGCGCTCTGACCATCAATAACATGAAAGAAGTCGCTGTGATATAGTTCTGCCACCGGCCACAAGTCTGCGTTGCTTTGTTGAAAACTCCAATGAAAGAACGAGCTGGGACCTTGCACATTGCAGGGAAATGCCAGGCACGCGTGCATCCCAAACGCTTTTCGGTCCCTCATCCGTCTATTTGTCCTGGTTCAATGCAAATTTCGCCAGTTGGTATGACATAGCCACAAAAGGATTTGGTGCAGGTGACGGCATTGGCGATCCGCTTGATTGTACCCCGGCATGTGTAGCTCCTCAAATTCCTAGAAAATACTTTGACTGAGAGAACTGTGCCTGAGCTTTGATTGGTTAAGCGAACATGAATGTGACGGAATCCTCCGCCCCGGCACCGGCGATGTGGTGACGACGGCGATGCGCTCTGCCTCATGTGCATACTTTCGTTTGTTGCGCCCAAGTTTTTTGCTGTGCACGAATGCACGACGTACAACCTGTAAATATGTGTGCAATGTGTGCAATATGACGTTACACATTTTTGTGTTGCACGATGTCGAAATGTGTATGGACAACTAGTTGAACAGGGAATAGTGCAAGACTTCCTGATTCATGTTTCTGCTGTTGTGCTGCTGTACAAATTTTCCATTAACTACGCCCGAGATGCGCTTCGCAGGGCCACGGACCGCACCCAAAAGCGCACCTACACCCACGTGGTGAAGGACGAACTGGGAGCGACGTGGGAGACCGTGATTCGGATTTGCATCCTGTTTGGCAATGCAGGCAAGGGTTGTTGGCTGCGCTCGAACGTGGGAGCCTTAAATTAATCTGTGTGTGAATATGTATTCACCAACTTGGTAATTGCGCATGGGGTGCAGAGAAGGAAGCCATTCATTTTTCCCTGTAGAGATAGCTCATTGGCAAAGAAAACAGCTGATGCTGTGATCGCTGTCTTGCAATTTTTGGTTTATCGCTTCACCCCCACTTGAAGTCAATTCAGGAGAATGAAGAGAAGCTTAACAGACATTCTTTCCATTGACAGAAGTTCTTTGCATGCGCAATTGAGTGCGTCTGTTGGCTCAGTTTTCACCGGTTTCCGTGTTGTGCAGGGATCCTGATCGTATTTATCATCGTCATTGGAGACATACTTGTGGGGACTACGGAGCTGCGGGGTCTCATTCCCGCCCTTCTCGGCCCGCGCACCGTCGGAACGCTGCTCAGCTGCCGTTGGTTTGTGGTGGGCAGCATAGACCCAGCCAGGCTTGTCATTTACAGCGCAAACGTAACGCGAATTTTCGTATTTACATGCAAAAGTTGCAGTTGTGCGTTTGCGCTTGAAAACGCATAAAAATACGTAAACAGGCCTTGTGTGCACGAAGACAGTCTATGCAGAGTAAAGGAGTCCGTTGAGTGGCAACCTGACGCGCTGGCGCGAGCATAAAACGAGCCTTGCTCAACGACGGCGTTGCCCTTGCCGAGGCCAACGTGGACGCTTTGTTGCGAGTGGTCGAGGGGCCAGAGGACGGATCATTGTCTGCGACTTCATCATGTAGACTGGATGTCTCAAAGCGCCGTCGAAATACGTTATTGTAATGTAACCGCAAAAATAGCCGTTTCTGGGTTTGCGCATATTGATGCCTAAAAATGTAAAGGCAGAATGGTGACACAAAGGTAAAAGTGGTTCCATAAACATATATAACTGATCTGGGTCAGGTTCCATGGACGTGTCAGTGGAAGGGTGCTACGAATGGTGGATGTAGTGGGGCTTGCCAGTTGCAATGCAAATGCATTAAAGGTTGCCTGCTTGCCAGAAATGGTTGTCCACTTGGTGCCGAAAAATAAGACCAACATGAATATTTCGAAACTCCAGTGCGCTTCTCCAGCATTATAAGAAGATTCTGGAAGAGTGTGCGCATAAGCATAGTTTCAATGTAGCCGTCATATCAGCAGAGTTTACTGTTGTGTTCGTGGTTGTGTTCATCAATGAACAATATCAGTTTGCATTGTCCCCGAGCATATTGTGCAAAAGGACCTAGAAATCCAGAGCAAAATGGCGCGGGCAAATAAGTATGAGGGTTGTTTAGAGAAAGGCGCAGCGCTGCCAATCTTGTGGTTGGCTGAGTGGACAGGACAATTTTGAGACAAAATTGCCCAATGCACTGTCAGTTCATTTTTTTAGCATGTACCGAACTTTCCAAGTTCCCAGCTCCCCCGTGTTGTCCAGTTCCATGTGGTGCACAGATATGATCCAACGCAACCTTTCGCCCTGCCAAATACCACAATTGCTCCAGTGAAATTCCATATCTCAACTTCTCAGGGAGGATCTAGCTTTCGGGATTCACATTGCGACTGTATGCGTTCCCATTGTGCTTGAGAAATCATTGTCGACCCCTTTGTTGTCTGTAGCAAGCACCGAATATGAAGCTGCGCAGTAACTACTGTCGCTCTCGTTGGGTGAACAAGCAGGGCCTCTTTCATTGCGAAAGCGTACCGCAGGCATTCCATTTTCGAAATTTCGACTCTGATTGAAGGCGAGGAAGGCGCCCATACGGTGTCCGTTCTTGTTGCATTCTGCACTTCTAATGCCTGACTAACGTCGTGCTGCCGCAGATGCTGGTGGCAACGCTGGCGCTCATTCTACCACTTGTCTCTCTCAGGTGCGTGTGGGCATTTGGTGTGAATGTATTCACAGTATAACATGCCGCTATTGAAGTCGATCTCAAACCTTACATACAATAGAATGCCTAACAAAATGTCAATCGCAGGTGTTTTTGGTGACCGCGGCACACGTTAGTTTAGCAAGCAATAATCGTAAATGAACGATAAGTGCATTGCAAATTTGAATATTTTAGTGCTGTTTAGGTCGAAAGCACCGGTTAACACCATCGAGCGGCTGTATTTTGTGCAGCTGGCAATTCGGATTCCATTTTCAATGAAGGAGGAAGACAAATACACCACCTGTTCATATCCTATTCGGTGCTGCATGTAATGCTGCACTGTAGGGCGCTTCTGTAAAAAATGCCCCAGGCGTAAGATCAGTATATCCCTATTTGAATTGCCTTGGTTCAGTCCAAATGCTTGTTTTTTACCAGATTTCCAGCTGCGCAGTAGGTTTTCGAAATGTCCCTGGCTGCACGAAATTATCATTTACGTAGCTTGCCGGCCGGACATTGAATGTTCAAACAAACTTGGTTGAATGGAGCTTTCCTCGCTAGCAGGAACATCAGCAGCCTCGAATTTGCCAGCACCACTGGTGTGGCAGTGGCTGCGGCACTGAGCGTTCTTGGTATCATCCTTTCGACCATCGCTGTGGCTTCTGGGGGACTGTCTGACGTGGAATGGTGGATTCCGAAGGGAAGCCTTGGAATGAAGCTCATTCCCACCACCTTCGGGGCTATATCAACATACGTCTTTGCCTATTTTGTTAACCAAGAGCTCCCTCCACTGGTAAGCGCTGTCCTCGCGAGTACCACTGGCACGGAAAGGAACATTTTGCATAATTTGATATCCATTTTGACTGATGATGTACCTACAATGCGACTGGCAGATCACCAATAAATGAGGCTGTACTATATCATGTCATACCCTTGTTATTGAAGGTCATTGTCACCGCTTTTTTCTGCGCATCGACATGCTGAGCATAGTGCCCATGCGCAAACCTGAGCTACGGTATTGTTCTCGGAATTAGCCAAAAAGGGAACTAGCCAAGTCAAAATGGTTACTGAAAGTTTCTCAGCTTTCAGTGGACACGCCCATTTACGCAACCACTAGAGCAGAAAACTTGTGGGGTTGCACTTTGGCTTCCATTCTCTGAGAGCTGAGAAGTCCGGAATTCCTCTGGGAGTTCCCACCTGTTCATGCAATTTCTCTGTCTGACTTGTGCTAAAGCAATGTGAACACATGTTCATTGTGGACATGCGTCTTAATTTTGCACAGTAATGTTCTGCAGCACATGGATGTGTCCCACTCCCATATTGATGCCATTTCTTACATTGCGAGGTGGCCGTGCATCCTTCAGGCGACGCCGTGCAATCGCGTATTGTCGGGCATTGTGGCCGCACATTGGGCAATGGATAATGAAGTGCGCGCAGGCGCTGTTTTCCTTTGCCAAATCATTTCAATGCTGTTGATCAAAGAGATGAACTGGACCTGAAGCACGTGAACGGCTTTCGCAGATGGAGGGTCTGCGTGTATACACTAGGAAAAATGCCATGACTGCTACCCTGTCCGCCATGGCCCTGTGCTTCGTCATCCACGTCCTAGTTCAGGTGCCCATGTACGTGGCCTTCGGCTCCAACACAAAGGGTGACATCCTGTTGAACCTCACGCCGGCGGGTCTAGCACCTCTCATAGGTGCAGGAGCTGGCGAATTCGTTGGCGATGCCGTGCTCATATGCTACGCCATAAAGGTGCGGTTAATGGGAGCGTTTGATGTCAAAGCTGCAGCGACGGAGGAATCCACCGACCTCAGAGGCACTGCCTCCACTCGCTTTAATGTTCGTTTCCATCACTTAGTGAGTCGTTTGCTGTCCCGCTGTAAGTATCGCGGCGAAATGATATGAATGTATGCAATATGTGGCTTGTATATCGTCTACAAAACTTGTCGTAATGCCTTCATGCATCATTTGTTGATTGGCGAAATTGATCATATATTTCTCAGACTGGAACAAGATGAACGAGTTGGTCTGGGAAGCCGCATTTTGTCATGTACTTGTTGTAATTCAAAGTATTTCCTTGAAATCGCGGTCAAAACTACCCACCATGGACTCATTCAGTACTTTCGAAAATGATAGAGTTGAGAGGGGCAGTCGGTACGCCAAGATTTCAGGCCTGCGCGATTGGAAACGAAAAAGTCGAAAACCTCCAACCTCGGGTGGCAGGAGTATTGCCAGTTCGCAGTAAATGGCGTCCCATATTCGGAAGGACCCACTCTGGCGGCTGGCAATGCCAAGCAATGCCATTTCTAAGTGAAACAATAGGACGGCGGTGATTTCTATAAACAGACGACGGCAAGGTACGTGCCCTCAGGTCATTTTTAGCAGTTGACCCTCTCGCATAGTGCCGATCGTTGAGCTGGAGCCTAGAGTTGGTCTTGGTTATTCTATTTAAAAACGGCAAAATTTGCTGCGCTGTCGGGTTGATAGGGCGGGCAAAACACTGGAGCAGCGTCTTCCCTGATTCAGGGTGTCACTATTTGGGGGTTTAGCTACAGCCTAAGAAGTTTTGAACCTCCCGTTTCAAGTGCTTCCATACCGATCCTGCATGTCTGTTCTCAGGGATTCTTTCAGTGATTTTATTGAGCTCATTGCAGTTTCTTTAGACCGGTTTTCGTGTGAATGCAGCAAGCAGACCGTACAAGCGCTGTTTCACAATCATGTACGTTCACTGGAATCCGAACCTGTCCAACTGCCATATGTGGTTGCACTGTAAAACTCTTTGAAATGGGCGGCCACGACATTCGCACACTTTCGCGGTTCACACTTCATTTTGCTATGTTTTATCATCGCTCAGCCCGCTGCGATAATATGCACAAATTCTATTCAACCAACTTCGTTTGCGCATCACCTGCCGCTGCAAGTTTCATTCGTTTGCCAGAAACACGAACGGTGGTCCCATGTGGCGTCTGAGAGGCCGGAGTATCGACATATCAGATTTTGCTCATCTGCTGCGACGGCAGGAACAGGTATTCGTATGCCCTCAAGCTGCACCGCCCCTGCACTGCCTTTTAAATACAAAACTGCAACTAAAGCATTCGGTGCATCCCACAAGGTGATCGCCATCTTCCCCATGATCAATTGGCCCCTGCGGGAGAGCCTGTCCGACTTCATATTCCGCACGCCGCGGCCCGAAGGCTGGCGCTTCTATTCGTGCACCTACGGCATTCTGGCGGTAGTCTACCTCATCGCTGTCTTCGTCAGGCGCGTTACTGTGGCAATCGACTATGTGGGCAGCACGGCGGGGGTGGCCATCGCGTTCCTGGCGCCGGCCTTCATGATCTACAACGAGGCTGGCCACAGGAAGGGGTCCAAGATTGAGGCAGCGGTGTTCCTGGCGAGCGGAATTCTGGTTTTCCTGAGCACCTTCTCGAACAATATATAGAGCACCCTCATTTAGGATATCGGGTGGGGCAGGTGTGGGACACACGCGCATGGGGAAGCGGCCATGAGGAAAGCCTAAAATGGCGCACCGCTTTAATCTCCCTCCACCGAGAGGGATTTTGTCGAGGCTTTGAACAAAGTGACATCGCATGGTGTCGATTTTTTTCACCTAGTCGGGATAGTTGGGGACGGACGGGGCGTTTCTTTGCCAATGTGAGCGCATTGGCGCCTAGAAGCATGCCGTATGGATTGGGTTGGTCGTGGGCCAGATCGACTGTGAGCAGGCTCTGCCAGCGCATTCGGTGCTGCCACAGCAGCTTCATTTTCAAGATGATGGCATTGTGATCGGTGGGGCGGGTTGGCAGAGCAGGAACACATGGAGCCGTGCCACAATATGCATTGTGGACTGCATAGCACATTATGTACAGTTTGAAATGGGTGTCTCGCCTTTAAACCAAAATTTTGGTTTCCTGTGTTCATCACCTTGAGTATTTCGGCAGTTGACACATGCTCGAATTGTGTGGCCACTTGCCACGAAACATGCAATTTTCTCGGAACGTGCAACGCGGCCACAGCTGGGGCTGTTGGGAGATCTCTGGACGCAGCTTTCCGAAAGTAGTCTCGATCAAATATCTGTGAACAATCTGGGATGCTGCCACTAAAGTCCAATTGCAAAGCGTCTGGAAAATTCGAGGTTGTTGTATTCGGCAAACTTCCCAGCAAAGCACTGCCCTCGCTGAGATCACGTGGCGCTGTGCATTGTCTTCAACAATAGAGTGACAACAACGGAGTGGTCGCTTCAGACGCGTTGGCTGTCAACACGGTGAATTGCTGAATGGCCAATCAGTGGGGCACAAGCGGCTGTGCAAACTTTGGGCATTGCTTTTATTACCCCTGTGAGGCAGAAAGAACAATTAATAGGTGACTGTTTGACACATGGAGATACATGGTGAAATGAGGTACGGCGGATATGGCGATGGTGTTATGGTGACATGTACATGGAGAAATGGAAGGGAAATGAAATGAATATGTTTGCAAGCATGATTATACTTAACTAATACACTCACATTGTAATGCATCTCGTTGTGGTCTTGCTTCCCATGCCTGGGAGCGACCGAGTGTGAACGGTCAGCGCAATATGGTTTCGGAGCAAGGTTCAGACCATGGGGTTCCACCTGGACGATGGCATTTAGGAGGATGGCGTTGTCAGCAGAATTCAGCAGTGGCACCACTGAGCATCACCCTCGTTTGGGCGGTGCTCGGTGTGTGTTTGATCTAGAAAGCAGCAAAGGTAGTCGATTGCCGCTAGGAGGTCATGTGGAGAAATGAGGTGGGTCTTTTGCATGGCAAAGGTTATGCCGCAGTGTGGGCGTTCAGCGAGGATGGTGTTCCCACCGGAGTTGAAGTTGGAGTGGGAGCGTTCCTTGTCCCAAGCATTGGGATCCGTCGGACTACACTGGCGGGCAAGGCGGGCAGCATCCGCTGATTGAGGCAGAGGAGGGGCAAGGTATGGGTATGTGTGAAGCAAAGGACTAGTGTTGACATGGGTTTGGAAGGTGCACGGAGGCCTGAAGACTTCGAAATGTGGTTTGCGGTGCACCCAAAGGATGGTTTGGTGGCCTGGTTTGGAGGCACACGTTGTGGTAGTGCCCAATCGGTAGGTAGTAGAGAGAAATTGGTGAGGGGGCCGGCCAATGTTGAGGCACAATATGCTCAATTGACACATGTGCGGGTAGAGGCACTGGTCGTTGTGGCAAGGGGGGACTACCCCCACATTGAATGGCATAGTAGATGGTGGAAAGGGTAGGCAGACCCACAAGAAGTTCGACCAACATTGCAGGGTTAGAGCCCTAGAGCGGGTTGGTGGAGCGATCCGGGCGCGGCATGCAGACACAACAAGCCAGAAGGTGGGTGCGGCACCCTGCGGATGGGGGGTTTTGCCTACAGGGGGCTGGGATGGAGCTTAGAGGGTGGAAATAGCATTGGGGGAACGACCCATCGGCGAATGCTGGGGTCGCTGAATTGCATAGACCGGGCAAGAGCATGCGGATTGCACGAGACGTGCCACTGCCAATGGCAAATTTAGAGAAAATTATAGGGCACGGACCTCACACCATATCCGCGGGGGTGGGTACTGATGGTGGGACTTTAGCGGAGATCCATGGCAAGTTCTCAATGGGTGCCTCGGCCATGGTGGCGAATTGGAGGTGGTGGTGTGTGGCAAGTGGCACAAGCGCCTTGGCATGGGCAAGTGGTGAAGGCATGCCTGCGCCCGCATTGATGGGTGACCAACCGGGGGCGAGGGGGGGGGCAAGGGGAAGTTGGCGGGAGCTAGCGAGAGCTAGCAGGAGTGCGACAAGGTGGGACATGCATGTTGCAGGGGGTTTGGTCAGGGGTTAGTCACCTAGAGCGGGGGCAGAGGTGGGGGCAAGGATAGCTTCTGTCCAACTGCACCACCTTCTGGGGATAGCGCAATCAATTGTGGCCCCTACTATAGCAATGGGTGCCACCACGCTCATTTTGCTATTAGCAGACTGGGTGGTGGGGGAGAGGATGGAGAGGGTGAGGGTTATCCAATCACCATAACAAGTAATGATTCAAAAATAGTGATTAGTATTAGGGCTGGAGAGGGGGGGGGTGCTCCATGGCGGAACTCCACAAGTGAAAGTTCATGCATGGGTGGCCACCAATTCTGTTTTTCTATCAATAAGAGTGGCGGCAAAAGAGGTGAAGAATGTGCCAATAACGTCAGAGTTGGGGATGCAATGTGGGTGACTAGTACTATGTCCGGACGGGATGGCAGTATCAAGGGGGATGGTGACGGGGTTCACCAAACCTATTTTCCCATAAGCAACAAGGGTGGTGAGGGCAGGAAAAAACAAGGTTAGATTTCTACCAATGACATAAGAGATGGGGATGCAATGCATGCGACTGATATTGCATCTGAACGAAGTCATAGTATTAAGTGGGACCCAGCACACAGTAATTCAATCATGGGGGCGAGTGCTCAAGATGACCACGTTATTGTAGAACAATTGTTGCTTATGGGCAACATTGAGCGGAATCCAAAACAAGGGAGGATGGAACACTCTTGACCACGCTGTCCTACAAAGCATCATTTTGGATTGCTGCTGCAACATGTTGGGAAGCAAAGATAGAGAAGTTTAATGAGCATACTAGGATTTTGTTAAATCAGTTCTGCCAAGGGTCGATGCCCCACTATAGAATCATATAGCTCGCCATATAACTTTGTGAAAGAACTTTATGAGGCAGAAGGAGAAAGAGTCACTGACAACTCCCGTTAGAATGCCTTGGTCAATATAGTTCAAGAGATGCTCATGAAAAATAGCCTGTCCGAATAGGACTACCTCGCCCACATTTCCTACAAGATAAATAGGAATGAATCGATTTCGTTGATCGGTGCTTCCTCTACGTGGAGATTTAAATTCATGCCAAAGTAGGTCAGAGCCACTAAGTTATGTTGCAAACTCTCTGAGGAGTTGCAACATCAGCTCAATCATCTCCAATATGATATGACCCCAGAGGGCCTGTCAAATGCAATCCGTGACATTAGGTATTGGCCCTATTGTGTAGGTGTCAAGGCAGTGCCATTTCACCATATGGAAGTTAACCACCTTCACAAATAGCGGCTGCATGATCCAAACGAGTTTGGTTGGGTTGAGGAAGAGCTTGTAACTGACTATGGCTTGTGGCAGAGATGCAACCATTTTTAGCAGCTTGTTTTGCATGGGGACACCATCAAGTTCAAGAATATTGATGGTCCCTACAGCCTTGTGACCATGTGGAAAAAGTTGGTGTCAATGTTGTGTCAATTTGGCAGGAACCAAAGGAGTTTTTGTCAAGAGGATGACCCCATTGGTCTAATGGGGAAAATTCTGGCAATTTCTGTGAACTTGAGGCGAATTTTGATGAGGGTTGGACGTGCTTCAAGACCACTTTGTTAATAGGGAGGATAGATTCTGGGAGGACATTTTCCACAACTATGAGCCGGACCTAGAGGGGTACTACCAAGCGTCTACTTTGCTAGTGACCTATCGGGCACCCAGAAAAGCTCCTCCATATTAAAAAATAACGTCAAAGCTACCAACGTTCTAGATTTGGTGGACGTGGGTGCCAACATGGGAACATCAAACACCGGTATGGGTTGACGGGTGGCCATCAAAAATGAGCACAAAAAAGGTCAAAAAGACCGTTAGAATACGGAGCACACAATATTGTAAAAGAAAACAAGAAAAAAAGGAAGAAAGAATGCCCAGCAAAGTACCCAAAATGCTGGGGAAACGCTGCCAAAATTCGCTCAGATTATCGCTAATCATTGAGGGATACGATGGAGGAACGGGGGATGTGAAAAGCTGTGCCATGCAGATGCCATGCCACCCCGCTGCCCTCCTGTGAGTTCTGTGTCCTCTAGAAGCTTTGCGACCTCATGCGCAGCTTTGGGATTTGTAGTTGGAGTCTTGCCGTGCCTTTGAGCAGTTTTTAGTCTGGATTCGCACCTTGGAACATGTGAATTTGCAGTCTAGATGGATTGAGAGGGGTGCGCGTTGTGTGCTGTGAGTTTCCGGACCAAGAGGGTGTGCATGGGACTCCCATGATGGGAGGTAGAAACTCTGGTCGAATTTTGATTTTACATGGCGGTATGCTAAGCAGTTTAGGGAGGAGTTTCTAGCTGGTTTCCTAAAGAGTTTCTGGGATGTTTCGTGTGGAACCGCTTTGGGAGCGGGAGAGGTTGTTGTTGCCTCTCGTTGGCTATTTAAAGAGGCTGCCCACCCCAGGGCCGCTGGGCCAAGGGGCAGGCTGGACCCCGGACAGCAAGTCCTTGTGGTTGACCTGCAGGCACATGGAGACAAAAACAAAGCAAATTGTAAGGTTACCGTCTGGTGGACTTAGACGTAGCGACCGGCCCTCTCGCATGGCGGATCTTGGGACGTGGACGACCGTGTCGCTGATGGACGGCGGGATCGACCACCGAATCGATTCGGTGTCACAACAAGTGATGGTGGCGGGAATGGTGATGATTAATCACCATGTGGGGGAAGGTTTCGGGCAGACATGTGAGCTGGTGCTCCCGGGTTTGTTCACTGCACTGCGCCTATGAGTCATGGCACAATGCTAGGTTGAACCTTGCTTTAATGTGCATGGAATCTCCACAGGCGGGTGCCAATAATGATGGGGCGCTGAGGGGGCCGTGGTGGGGAGGTGACGGCTCACATGCCGGTCGCGGGTGAAGTACACACGTGTGGACCTGTTCCATCACAGTAGTGACGTGTGTCTGCATATATCGTGATGGGAAGAAGTTAATGGCCAGCGTGGCATGTACAAGGCCTGGGCCAGGAATCACGTAACTATGGCAGCGGGCGTATCAGTCAGGGCCGGCATGCGCTGATGTGGATGACCGATCGTACCAGTGCACCACGCGACTGTTATTGCCTCACGTGAGGTGCAGATAGTGGGGAGCGCAGAGGGGGGTAGGTGACCGGCACTGTATTGCCATCATAATATACTACTGTGGGTACAGCAGTGAATGCAATGCCCCCTTAAATATTGGAGCACAGCCAAAGGGTGCGGGGAGTACTTCGGGACACGCCGCCGGTGCAGTGGGTGAGCACGTGGTGTATTACCGGCTACCTAAACTACTAGAAAAGCAGTATCATGGAAATTCCCCCATTATTATTAGAAGATTACTAATCTTATCATCAACAAAGAATGCACTTAGGCTACATGTATTTGCAATTCAAAACATAACAATATTGTTATAGTGTTCGCCCCTATGTATTGACTTCTAGATCAGTATAACCTTCAATACCCTACTCCCATGATCTGTATCCAGCAAGGAAATATCTCTTGTTGGTCCCATGTGCAACCCAAATTAAAGGAGAAGGTGGTCCGAGGCGCTAATACAAGACAAATCCCAATATGTATGTGTAGTGTAGGATGATTCAGAACTTACTAATTACACTTTTATCATTCTTTCTCTTGGATCAAGTAGCTTTTTTATAGATAAATATATATGTACCCAACAAAGCAGAGCACAATTTTTGGTGTCATTAATACAATCATGCATCGTGTGCTATTCCTGTTATAGAGCTTCGAACCGAATAAAACTACAAGTTGTCTTCTATATGTCAATTGTATTTAGCAGAGGTGGCGAGCTTTCCGCAATGAATTTTATTTAAAATGTGTAATTCAGAAATTGAATTCATCACTAGTCACTTACAAATCGTACAAATAAAGAAATTATAACAACACTAATGGTGGCGATTCCATGGCAATGACCAACAACTAGCACACTGATGCAAAACGTTTATTAGAGGTCGCCCCTATCATCTATTGCTTGGCAGACCGTGCTACCATCTACTTCCTCCGTCCAAGAATAATTGTACTCTATGACTATGGGGCACGACTTCTCTATTGTACTTACATCAGTTTTCAATAAAACTTTGCCCAAAGTTGTGCTTGTAAGTCTGGATCATATTATCAAAATTTCAAGTCAACTCACTAAGTATTGAGGATTTGGCAATGCTTTGTACCGGTGGTCTTTTACCTAATAAGCCTCAGTATTTGGGGTCAAATGGAATGGGTGCTTGCAAGGCAGCAATCACGTGGCAATTGTGGCAACTCATAGGCACCCATTCCTGTCACCCATAGAGGCCAATCCAAGCAACTATGGGTGGTGGAAATGGGCACTTCAGAGGCACCAATCAACCACCCATTTTGTGGCTCTCCACCATTATAGCAGGCCTTGGGGTGCCCGTGTAGGGCCGCTCGCTATGTTGCTAGTGCCGTTCCTCCTGCGTTGCTACAACAGTACTCCGTGGGGCCACTAAAGTACACACGGTACACTGCACCCACCCACCCTGCCCCACCCCCCACCCCTACCCCCACATGGCCAAATAGTACAACAAGTTCTCAGTTTTTAATAGGCAGTATTGCAACAAAAATTGGAAATATGGTACCGTAATTAACGGACGGTAACAGGTGGCCAACGCTAATCTCTAACTTTTGTTACCCCGCAATAATGGTAACAATGCAGAACCATTTGATTAATATTCTCCTTATGCTAGCCTATCCTTCCAATCCGAAAGCGAGATCCTGAGCCATTATAATAGTAACTACAATAATGATTACCTCATTGCAACAGTCATAACTACTCCATTTTTATAACAATAGTGATTGTAATAGTAATTAAAGGAGCTTTTCCCATCCAAAGTATGCCTGCTCTCGCTTGATGCCTTTCCCAACAATATATAGTAAAAGAGACCGTCAGGTCCAAGATAATGAGAATAACAAGAGATTGATAAACAACTAGTTGTTGGTCGTTTAGGGTGATGCCGCGTTTTGCCCATTTAGCACCTTGGATATTGTACCCAACCAAAAGCTTCAATTGGAAATATGTGGGGATTTAATATAATATGTAGGCATTGGATGTATGCAAGATGATGATCTGTTTTAATCTGCCTCATGTCATGCCAAAATTATGCTCTTAAAAAGGAAGACGCAACTAAGCACGATCGTTATTATAGAAATGGGAATTTAATTTAGTTAGCAAAAATACCTCAAAGCATGTTGGCATCTGTTTTACATGTGCATTGTTTCAACCCGTGCATTACTTAAGGTCAACGTAAGGTGGTTGCCCTGTGCGCAACGGTTGCACTTGATATGGGACCCCTCTGCTGGTCGTCCCCATTACAACTGGCAGCTTGCAGCCATGAATCCGCACTGCTATACGCATGCAATCTAAGGTAGGGACTATCTTCTCGCTTCTCATCCCCTCCTCGCACATGGTTCTGACGCCGCCTACGGCCCCTATTCTGCCGAAGTCCCTCGCGCAGAAGACTAAAACTGCACGTCAAGCGCTGCTCCTCCCCTGCTGCTGCGCACGCGCAAAAATGGGCCCCTGGAGGCGGCTCCCCACCTACTTTCCGAACATTAGTCTGTACATGCTCCCGCTGATGGAGAAAGAGCTGGAGGCGGTGAAGAAGACGGGCTGGTTGAGAAAGGTCGCGTTCAGGACGACACCGAATGTCAGCAAGGTGGGCAAAGAGTCTCCAGCTCCCCTCGTTCTCTCTCACTGCTCGTGTTGTGCGTCCACCTCCATGGTGCAGCAGCACGTACCAGTTCGACGTCGCTGAGCAGGGCTCTTTTGCTCCATTGTCTGCCCCTATCGCGATTCCCACCCATCGGGAGATCGTTCTGTTCTGAGTGGTTTCGGAGATTTGGACATCATCTCATGGGTATAGCACAGAGTCACAAGCCTTAAGGGGTCGGAAGGGGGCCGAGCGCACGGCGTGCAATATTTGTCGGAAGCACATCTTGCCCATGAAATGGGTCCGTTGGTCGTAACAACCAGACCATGGCAGATCATGCATTGTGCAAAAACCCTCCCATTTCATCTCATGCAAGATATGTGTGGTACGCTGTTCCACGTTGCAACATTTGATTAGGATCTCGCGAAGTGGATCGTAAAATGTACCCAAGAATAAAGAGAATGAATAATGAGGAAATATGCAGTAAAGGACGAGCACAGCTGATTCGCGCCAGCGTTTTTGCTCAGTTGGATGCACACTTGTCTCAGCCACATGCAGCTCTGGCTGCTCTGCAATTGCAGGATTCACTTCCCTTTGGAACCTAAGCACAATGCAGAAACTTTGATCGCTTCTGGTGACCAGACCCTCTACGCAGTATCCAAATCTTGTTTTCAAAGTGTGCATTTGCACCGCCAGCAAAAAATGGATCTATTGCTGTGACATTGACTTGAGTGGTACATGTACTGACTGTGTTATCATTCAGCCATCCAATTTGTTATCAACCCAGTCATCAACACTGTTCATTGTTCATGCCCATGAGGGTCCAAGAGCAAGCACAATATGCTGATCCTGGTGTGCTTAACAATGTGCTGCTCAGTTGGAGATCAAGGCTTTTTTGGAGAGTGTATATGGCATGGAAGTAGAGAAGGTGAACACACTGAATTATGAGGGCAAGAAGAAGAGAAGAAAGTATGGCATGGTACAGAGACCGGATTGGAAGAAAGCTTATGTGTACTTTAAGCTGCCAGCTGGCAGCATCGAGGAAGACCATGGGGCCGGCTGACCACAGGATGTTGTTCTGCTTTCATTGCCAAAGCGGATGTGAGTAGCACAAAGTTTGTGACTGGCACTTGGCACAAATGCTCTGTTGTACAACAATGAACTCGCGTACACTGGCAGTTGTATACAGAGCAGGTGGATGGCGTAGTCAGCTGCAACTGTGGCTGAAGGGTGCATTTCCCACATTGCGGTTCAGCTGGAAATCATTGTCAGCCAGAAGCCGAAGAGGACATTGCTGGATGCGGAGGCATTTCGAAGTTAAAATATTTATCAATTGGAAATCTGCAATGGGCAAACTCTGATGGTGCATGCTACCTGCGCCTCTGTTGCCTGGGTTGTGGCATTGGTCACTAGGCACCTTTCAAGCAAGACCTTCAAGACCTTCAAGCAAGAGTACTTGAATGCTGTGCCCCAGTTCAAGAAGCATGTGAATGCAATGCAAGGACCAACAGGCTTTTTCTACTGCAGATAGGAATCTGAGGCAATGGAAATTGCGATTTGTCCCCATTGGTGTGGAGGCATCACAGTTCTAGCACCACTAGCAATGGATGGGCCTGTGCACAGCATGGATTGGTGCAGTTATGTTTCTTATGAAACCCTTTTGTGCAGAATGGTATGAAGAATTGAAGCATTCAATATCAGATTCTGACAGATGGATTGCCATCCCTACTCTCTGCTTTTCCCTGACGATCATGGGGTTCTTGAACTTTTCTTTTTGAATATTCAGTGGGGAAAGAATACAATTGGCCAGTAGCAACTCTTGTGTCTGTGAACAATGCCTGACATCGCTTGGCAGGTGTAGTGGTGGTGCTTTATCACGTTGCCTGACATCGTATCAAGCAAGGTTTCATGATTGGAAATTCTCATGCCAGACGATTGTCACTCCCGTTGACTGCATATGTACAATTGGGGGGGCTTGAGGGTAAATTGGATTCTCAAGCAGGGCTAGGGAGGCACCAGCTAATTAAACACCCTTGTGCTGAGGGGGTGAAACATCGTGGAGATGGTGGTTTCGAGTCCATTGTGGTGGGGACACTGGTGGCTAATTTGACCTTCATGTTTCCTTTGTATGCCATTAGCTGTTAATTCGTCCAGTACCTTAATCTAGGATCCAAACTCACACTATTGCTATTGTTTGTGCTCATTGAGAGTGGTAGAGCACATGCTGATATTTCAGTTGCAGGGTTGTCATGCATCCCAGTTATTGCTGCAGCAGTTCACAATGATTCTTTGCCAAGCATCATGCTTTCCCTTGTCTATTGCTATGTGGGGAAAGCACAAGGATGTGAGTCACTGCAAGTAGCACATGCAGTGCACTGTAAACAGCGGTCCAGTTTGTTCCACAGTGAATGCAAAAGTATTCTGGCAATTGTATGAAAGTCCCGCCTCCTGCCACTATCCTTTGTCTTTTGGGCGGCTTCCACCACCATGCCTATCATGTAGCAAGCAAAATGGCTGCAGAGCCAAACCATTGTTTGCATCATCCCATCTTCATTCTCACTTTGGTGGCTGAGACGACCTTGCATTCCTTCTGGTGCTCTTAATTGGCTATGTGGTGAAACTAAGTAAGCAAAAAGGTTTCTCTGCTTCTGCAGTATGGTAATGCGACAGCAATGCCATGTGGTTAATAGCACCGTGTTGAACCATTTTATGTGCAAAACTTCTTTATAGCAGGTGTCGGCTGGCATCATCATGGGAAATGCTGAAACGCCTTGTGTCGGATTCCACTTGCAGAAAAAGGCTAGGTGCTTGCAAAGAGACACTCCATTCGCATCCCTGTCTTTCTGCAAAGACATAATAGCCTGAAATGCACACCAGCTGACTGCACTAGTAATCGCAATTCTCCTGCTAAGATTGAAGAATACCATTTTTCAGCCTGCAACTTGAAAAGAACTCTGGGGCAAAATGGTCCAGAGACGAAGTACAACAGGAGGGGTTGTCCAGTGTATGGGTTTGTATGAGTCGTATGGGTTGTATGGGTCGTATGGGTTGTATGGGTTGTATGGGTTGTATGGGTTGTATGGGTTGTATGGGTTGTATGGGTTGTATGAGTTGTATGGGTTGTATGGGTTGTATGGGTTGTATGGGTTGTACGGGTTGTACGGGTTGTACGGGTTGTACGGGTTGTACGGGTTGTATGGGTTGTATGGGTTGTATGGGTTGTATGGGGTTGTATGGGGTTGTATGGGGTTTTCTTTCTCTTATGCATTTGCATCTTGTTCCTTTTGCAATCATGCACTTCTGCATTATATATTGTACAGAAAAAAGTTGCACAATTTTGCTCAGCAGGGGTTTGGACACCGTATTTCATGTATGCCTCAAGGTAAACTTGGCGGCAACCACTACCACGCACAACCAATACATGAGAAACTCATAGTGGTGGCTCCACTGATAGTTTGTTTGGTGTATATTTAATGTCCCGCATTTGAGACATTAACTTTGTCTTGGGCTGGCGATAACGTATGAATGAATATAATGAGTTTAAAGCATGGAGCATGAAGTTTGTCATTGTTCGAATATAACTTGTGTGTGCATGGAGTTGTGTAGATATGATAGAGGTGGCCACTCAAAGGTGCCATCCGGTCCGTTAAATCCGGTTCTTAATTTTTATCAGCTGTCCGTTAAATTTCGTTAAAGAAAAAGGGAGAAAAATTCAGAAAAAACGAAAAAAATCCAAAAAATTAAAAAAACCCCAAAAAATCACAACAACTGCGGCTAGTTGAAAATCTAGTATGCATAGGTTGAAATAAAATACAAACATACTCTCTAATAGCGAATTCCATAAACTATTAGTATGACTAAAACCCAAAAATCCCCCAAAAATCCAAAAATCTGCTAATTTTTGGTTAATTTTTGTCTTTTTTCGTTATTTTCCATTAATTAACGGAAAATTAACGGAAATTAACCTCTGTCTGCTATTAACGGATCCGGGTGGCCACCTCTAAGATATGAACGACGATCTTTGGAAAGAGAAACCTGGTACTGTGAACGGTTTGCCTCCCAGCATGTTGTTGGGGAGTGGTACAGGCTGGCTACTCGAGCGTGTCGGAGCACTGCACGATTCCCAAACCATAGAAAAAAGCTTTGCCCATCGCACGGTTCCAGTCACCTTATCTAGCATGCAATGGCATGAAATTAGCCACTCTGTCATTTCCGTGAAGATCGTGACTGCTTGTTTTGGACACTGTTCGATGAGCCTACAAAATGACCCATTTCACAAGTCATCTTTGCATTTAAAGGCCATCAAAAAAAAACACAAAGCGGGCTAACAACACAAATAAAATATTGAGTAAAGAAAGAAAATAGAAAAGAAAGAAAGAAAGGGAAGTTCTGTACCCAAAATTTTGGGGAAATGTTGCCCATTTTTTTTTCTAAATTACAGCTAGTAGTTTAGGGGTACGATGAGAGAGCCAGGGGTGTGAAAGGAGACGCCATGCAAATGCCATGTCGCCCTACAGCCCGCCTATGTGCCTTGTGGATCTCCAGCGCTTTGGTTGATTCCTGCCAGCATGACCGTCCGCTCCATTCCCCTCCGCGGATGGCGGGCTATGCTCTCTGAGTTTGTGGAGCCCGTCAATGCAAAGATTACGCGTTGGGAGGTCGTGCGGCCCCTCCCCATCTTAATCCGCTAAGAGGTAAAGCTTATCATACAACGAGTAAGGACACAAGAAAAAGAAGGAGTAATTTTCTCACTCGCCCAACCTTTCGAATAGACGTATGACAAGTTAAGGTCGAGCTGCTAAGGCGGCGGGAGCTGGGGTTTGACACTGATGCACAAGAGGGTGAACATGGGGTGTTTATGGAGCCAGAAATTCTGGAGGGAGCAAGTAAACAACTCGATTTTGTGCGGGAATTCGCTGTTGCACAGAGGGAGGACTAGCTGTCTACTGGATCCATAAAGTTCAGGGATGTGCTGTGCGCCATGGACGAATGGATACGCCAACATGGAGCACAAGTCGAAGAATATATGTGACGTGGTTACTTGGGGTTAGGCAGTTATTGGCATTTTCTAGAGTGTCGATTACATAATCTAGGATATCGACCTTTTGTGAGTGTTATTTAGTGATACGAAAAGTCTATGGGTGTGGGGCGCCTGCCCTCTTTGAGCCTCGGACCCGCCTCGCCGGGCACCTAGGTCCTTACGGGGACCTAGGCGGGACCACCCCTCCTATTCCCATATCCTTATAAGTATAAGGGTTACCGTAGGACAAGGAATACAATACGATCTTGGGTAGGGCGTCCCCCACACCAAGGGCCAGTAGTAGGGCGTCCCCCACATCAGGCCGGTGCGCGTAACATTCGTCCCCCTCAGGGAGGTGGGGCGTCCTCGTCCCAATGTATATGGATATGGGAGCAGAAACATTATGTATGTGGGAATAGAACTGGCTGTGCGATTTGCCACATGCCCAGTTGGCGCGGTAACCACACATACATTATGTAAACTATGGTGAAGAGAAAGAGTGGTTGTTTTTACATGACCTCCCGGTCTTCACAACCCTCATTAAAACTCTTCCTCAGCCACATGGCTGGAATGTTCGACCTCCCGGCCTGTCATCTGTGACCCCGAGAATGGGAACCACCAAATGCCCATGCCGGTGGGCGTCGGCTCGGTGCGGGACCTCGTCCTCGCCCGCGGCCACGCACACGCCCAGCTCCTCGAGAGGCTGGCACGAGCGGTTCATCAATGTCTAGTCTTTCTCCGTTCAAGATCGCAACGGACATGGCGTTCATGTGTCCAAATTGCGTCTTGGCACGGGGAGCGGTGTACCCAGTGTTCTTCTAGACCCATCTCAGGAGAACCTGTCAAAGCATAGTCACACATGAGCATGTTTTAGTATGCACATCCCGTACTTTCACACAGTTTGCATTTACATCACAGGGGTTCTGCCATTTTCAAATGCTTGAACCAGTTCCTGTGCATTTGCAACTGACTTTGCTGATTCCCAGCTGTTATGCTCATGTCCATATCCCAGCCATTTGACAAGGTACTCAACATAGTTTTTG